GGGGGGGGGGACAAAGCAGAGCCAAGCCGTGGAGCGCGTGGGCAGCAGACAGCCCTGTCCGCTGCCCGCGTGTTCCGCCGCTTTGCTTCCTCTCCCTGGTCTGCTGGAGACCAGGGAGAGGAAGGGCCCCGTTCGTAACTGCGGATCCGACATAAGTCGGATCCGCGTAACACGGGGACTGCCTGTAATAAAATACCAATTGAAATGTAGAAATTTTGAATAGTTTTCTGCATTTTCAAATATATTGATTTCATTTACAACACCAAATGCAAAGTGTCTAGTGCTCAGTTTCTATTTTTGATTACACATTTTCACTATAAAAATAACAAAAAATCTGTTTTTCAATTCTCCTCTCAAGTATCATTGTGCTCTCTTTATCATGAAAGGGAAACCTATAAATGTAGAACAATTTATTTTAAAAGTGCACTCAAAAAAACCATGTTAAACATAAGAGCCTACAAGTTGAAGCATGAAGGTGAATAAACTCATTTAGTATATCTGGCGCATAAATACCAACACAAGCTACAACAGTGCCATGTGAGCATCTGTTCTCACTTTCAGATGATGTTGCAAGTAGAAAACAGGCATTGTTATCTCTGTTAAATGTAAATAAACTTGTTTCTCTGTGACTGAACAAGAAGTAGGACTGTGTGGACTTGTATGAGGTTAATTGTGCTTCTGGGTGTTGTGATGTTCTATTAATTGGGAGCGAACTTGTTTGTGCTTTGGGGGCTATTGAGTATATTTAAGGCCTTGGAGTATTTTTGGCACTCAAGTAATTGTTTTTCTTGGCTTCTCCCCCAAAAGTGTCTGGGTTCCAATCTGAATTAAACTGGAATTTGGTTACTAACCACCATTCCCAGTTGGATACATGAGACCAGGACTAAAACACCTGTAAACCCAAATTAAAATCCTGAGTTAACTATGCAGTCAAGGCATATCCCAAGACTGTGGCTTTAGGTAGGTTAGGTTATAGCAGCATCAATATTTATCATACCTGTTTTCCAAATGGGTTAGAAAAAGAGTGATCTGCTATGGGTGATTTTGTTGTTAAAACAAATACAGATGCAAGTACTGAAATGGAGACAGTTGAAATCACTGCCTAGAGAAATAGTGCTAGGGAAAAGACAGCAGGTGTTCCAATAGGCATGGAATTTTTTCTTCACTCCCCCTGAGTTGGTCATTTTGATGACAAACACATTTTTTTAAAGCAGTCTAGTAGAAAAACTGCTAAATTCCCAGCCTCTTCCCCATTATTTTAAAAAGAACAAATGGTGAGCAGAAAAATAGTTGCATTTAGAAAGGACAAAGGGAGACATGTTTCAAGGTCTGATCAAGCAAACCTGTCATGATCATTTATCTTCTCGTTTGCTGTGTTGTGGCTTGTGTAGGAATGGAACTGAACTGTAGTTTAGCTGCCATGAATCATGTCCACAAGAGCAGTAAACATGAAGCTACTTCTTACAGAAAGGCAAAGAGGAATCCTATATTTCATCTCTTCACTCCATCATTCTTACTTAAGCCTGGCTAACACCAAGTAGGGCTAGTCCTGCAAAGGACAGAGCATCCTCCAACTTCCACTGACTTCGACAGGGGTTGAAAGACATTCAACACCTCCCAGGCTTTGGCCCTGAGAGGGTCTTGCAGCTTCATGTAGACACCTTTGATCTGATTTGAGTGGAGAGCGTGGAACACATTCAATTTGACATGCTCCGTCTCTCTCTAAAACTGATTCGCTTTTTAATTGAAACTGCACTAATCTGAATAGTTTGAGTGCACTCATCTGAATACTATTTTAAAACAATACATTTCTCCTGTACCTCATCTTTCCTTCACTGTGTAACCCAGAGACATGGAGAAGGCAGGGTGAAGTCTACTCTACAGCCTAAACTAAGTGCCAGTTGACTTTTATTTCATGTAGTAGAGGCACATGAGGTTCAATTCCTTCTGCCAATGACCTGGGTCTGTTGACTTTACAATTGCAACAGTTCAGGCCAATCCAAATAGTCAAATTATCTCTATAAATCAGTGGCAAACAGTGGTTTTGTGTGCGACATAATTATATTCATGACAGAGTTTATTTAGAAAGAACCGTTTCTTGCTACCAATCTGTATGTGCTATCCACAGGCACACAGGCTGCTGACACTGGAAAAGGTTTCTTTCTTTAGAAGAGTTTTTGGACCCATTTTGCTCCAGGCTGTGGAATAATAAGACACACAAAACAGAACAAGGGAAAAAGACTTTAGAGGTTAAAATGATGTTAGGGTTCCTCTTCGAATGATCTTATGAGACTCAGAGGTTAGGTTCAGGCTCCTCTGCATGGACTACACCACTGGCTCTCACTTCTTTCATACTGGGGAGCCCCCACCATCAGGACATTGTCACATCTCATACCAATATGAGAGGGGCTGGGTGGTCACAGCCTTTCTGCTGCCTCTTTTGCAACCTTCTGTATGTTGCAGATCTCCAGATTGAAAATCCATATACCAGACTAATTATAATCTGGGACTGTAGCCTTCACTGGCTTCTGTAGCCAGCTGTGAGAGAGCTGTGAGGATTGGTGGCCAGTTGCCTACTTTTATCACTTACTGCTTTTCACACCCAGAGATATTTTTCCTAATCAGGAGCTGAATGAAGGTGCTGAAAAGAGATACACATGACTGAACTCTGAGGCAACAATGAAATTATCCTGGGATTTGATGATCCATTTGGTCAAGCAAAGTCAGATAATTTTATTGTGCTTGCAAACCAATATTAGGCTAAATTAAAACAGTGACGCATTAGGAATGATCAAACAGCATCATACAAAGGCATTTGGAGTTATGTATTTTAGTGTTGTCTACTTTACTCAACTTTCCAGAGAATGCAAGTAGCCTCTGCTGTTAAGAAATCCACAGAATTGTCTTTTCTCTATTCCCCACCCTTAACTGGAGGCTGGAGGATCTTTTAAAATTCAGTCATTTCTGCTGAAAGCCAGGAAGAGAATAGCTGCCTTGCTATAAGAAAATCACCGGAAGGTGAAATGAAAAAGGAACGATAACCAGAGATTAGCCTGACAGAACAGTACTGCATCCTGAAAATGTGTAAGAGTTTTTCCTTTTTATTTTGTTAAGTAGCCTATATTGTTCTGTCTGGTATCTTATGACCACTTGAACCTTACTTTTTCTACATTATAAAATCACTTTTATTTATTAATAAACCCAGTGTAAATAATTGTTACCTGGAGGAGCCATGTATACCTTTCTTTCCCTGAGAAGGAGGAAGGCGGGGGGAGAACAACATGTGCATACCCTGCATAGAACTTTATACAGAATAAAATGGTTTTATCTAGGGCGCAGGTCCCATTGAGGCTGTGCATTTAGGGGCTGAGGCAGGTCCCTTTGCTGAGCTGATCTCAGTGTCTGCATCATACCTCAGAGAGCTGAGGTCATATCTCTGAGTCAGCGCTGGAGGAGGCTTGAGGCTCTGGCTCAGTAAGACAGAGTTGAGGGGCACAATGAGGGTGGGAAAGTGGCTCAGTGATACCACACACCAAGGTGGTCCCAGTGACTGAACCCATCACATGCCCTTGGAAGGGGATGCTTTTAAAGTTTTAGTTGGGATTGGTCCTGCTTTGGGCAGGAGGCTGGACTTGATCACCACCTGGGGTCTCTTCCAGCCCTGTGATTCTATGATACTACACTTCTGAGTCACAGCAGAGATAAGCTTACCAGTGGTGCAGATCTCAACACTGCTTTCTTTTGCAGAGATGCCCCAGGAGTCAGTGTAGATGTAGCTCTGTTTAAGTTAATCGTTTCTCCAGGACTTCTCATAGCAGCTCCAGATGGGTCACTAATACTGAGGTTTGCTTGGTTGTCAGTGGCTGATTTGACAGAGGGGGTAAACAACAAAACAGTGGCTTGTCTTGCTTTGGGAAGCACTGTTTGACAAGTTGCTGGATGTGGGGCTATGACTTCCACAGACAAAGGTGAATTGCTGGTGTTCACTAGAGTTGACGTTCCCTTAGCGGTAGCCTGAGTAGTTGAAGAGGAAGCTATGAGAGCTGGAGGTGACTTGGTTTCATTGGCCATTGAAGGAAATGTTGAAACGGAAACAGCTTTAGAAGCCAAAATGGGAGATGGCTTTCTAGTTCTGGAAAGTAAACGTAATTTAAAAAACGCTTTGTGTGACTTTAATGGGCTGGTGGTGGGAATCTCAGGAAGTGCTGGAGCCAGGGCCTTGGATGAAGACTCTGGTGGTGGGGTGAAAAGTAATGGTGAAGATTTAGAGTTTATCTTAGCAAGTGGAAAATTTGATTTATCCTGTTTCTTGGAAATTATTAAATCACTTTCCTTAGAGGTAGCTGAAGAGGAAACTACAATGCCTGGGGGTGATTTGGTTTCATTGCTTTTTGTGGGAGATGTTGAAACAGCAACTGCACTGGTAACCAAAGTAGGAGATGGCTTTTTCCTTTTAAGGAGTGAAAATATTCTAAAAAATCCTTTGTGTGACTTTGCTGGCCCTGGGGAGGGCTCCATAATGGGTCCTGGCATTGGCTCCTGGGAAAGTTGCGGGGAGGTTCCCAATATTGGTTCCTGGGGAGACCCAGAGGAGATAGGGCCTTCGGAAAGGTCCTCGGTGGGCTCTTCAGGAGCTGACTTTGATGCATTTGAAAATTGAAATGCTGAGGGTTCGGAGGTTACTTCAAAGGGTAGGGACTCCAGTTTATCCTGTTTCTGAAAGATAATTGGTTTTCACATTAATAATGATTTTATTTCTTTCCAAGAGATGGCAGCTGGGAGAATGTAGGGCTAACCCATCACACACCTCACACAGTACCTTATAAGAGGCAAACGTAAGTGTACATTTTCCACTATTTTGTCCGTTTTAGTTTTAACTGTCCCAAACTATAGGGGTTTCCATCACTCCCCTTGAAAAACTATTTCACAGATCTAATATCTTGGTATCGGGACATTTTCCTGATATTCAGCCTTACATTTTTCTTTTATTAATGTTTATGCCATAAATTCTAGCTTTACCTCTTTTTGTACCTGAGAGTTTATGCTATTCAGCTAGACTTTTACTATGTTTCCCATTAGCCAGGGATGTTTGTTCTGTACATAGAATCATAGGACTGGAAGGGACCTCAAGAGGTCATCGAGTCCAGCCCCCCGCCCTCAAGGTCACATGGAAAAAGGTATGTCAGCTTACATGGAAAAAGGGTTGCCAATTTTGGTTGGATGTATTCTTGGAGGTTTCAGCCCACAACATAATCTTTAATTAAAGATTAATCTTTAATTTGTGGTGACTTTGGGACAGTCCTGGAGGTCTGGGAAGCCTATATCGAAAGTATCCACAATCGTAAAGTCATAGAAATGTAGACTTTAGAAGGGCCTTCCTTAACTCTCATGGATAGGTTATATAGGCCTAGTTCAGGGTACTTCTTCTATGGCTTCATACAAATTAACCAGCAGTAGGTGGGAGAGTCTGCTATAGAATGATTTATAGGGTGACTGTCAGATACCTGATATCAGCAGGAGGTGTAATTGGAACATATGATTATAATTATATCATTTGGTTCCATGTATAATATAAGACACTGCATTTAAATCAGGAGAATTATATGGCAATTTTAAACACTTACAGTAACTTTGTTTCTTTGTAAATCTGAAGGCTTTGACCTTGCCTTTATACCTGGTCGTGGTGGTTTTGGAAAGTCCAGAGAAAAACTAAGTGTATTCCATGAGCTTTGTATTAAGTTATAACTTCCAACATCTGAAATTTAGATGGAAGAAAAATATAAATTGGTCAAGAAAGAAGTGGAAATTCCATGCATATGAATTTAAAAAGTATTTTAAAAACACCAGTGTTTAAAAAAAAGAAAAGAAAAGAAGACAATTCAAATGCTACCTACTAAGAGAAAATAGCTTCACAAAAATTCACCTTTTGTATTTGCTAAATCCTTTGTATTAGTTAATGTATTGCACATATGGCAATATTATAAATAAATATTAGAGATGTTAAGCAAATATTGTTGTGATTAACCATGTAATTAAGCACATGGTTTAATAATGGAATAACATTTAATTAAATATTTTTTAGATGTTTTCTACATTTCAAATATATTGATAAATATCACAACACAGAATACAAAGTGTCGAGTGCTCACTTTTTTGGGGGTCACAAATATTTGCAGTGCAACCCCTCCAGAGAAATAGCATTTTTTAAATTTCTCTCATACAAGTACTGTAGTTCAATCTCATTCTCATGAAAGCTGAACTTGAAAATGTAGAATTACGTACTAAAAATCAAAAATAAAGCAATGTAAAACTCTAGAGTCTACAAATCCACTATGTTACACTTCTCGTTCAGGCAATTGCTCAGGCAAATACGTTTGTTTATATTTGCAGGAGATATTGCCCACTTCCTGTTCAGAGCCTTACCAGAAATTGACAACAGGCATTCACATGGCACAGCTGTTGCCAGTCACAAGGTATTTACATGCCAAATAGGCTAAAGATTCATATGTCCCTTAATTCTTCAATCACCCTGCCAGAGGACATGTGGCCATGTGGATGATGGCTTCTGCTCAATAATCATCCAAAGCAGAGCATGTTCATGTTCGTCATCTGTGTCAGATGGCACCAGAAGAAGGCTGATACTCTTTTTTCATAGTTCAGTTCTGTAGTATCTGCATCACAATATTGCTCTTTTAAGAAAAAGAGCTTTTAAGATAAAAGTAATTTCCACATTTTGTCCCTCTCAAATTTTGGAAGGCACTTCAGATTCTTAACTATAGCACTTGACCCAAGGTTTATCAGAAATTTCACACTGGTACTTTCTTTGTGTTTTGTCAAATCTTCAATCTTAAAAAAACACTTTGTGTTATTAAAATGAACATGTGTTGGGTCATGGCAGAATGTAGGCAAAACAGAGCGGATATACAATTCTCTCCCAAGGAGTTCAGTTACAAATTTAATTAATGCATTTTTTTTAACAAGCATTGCTGGCATGGAAGCATGTCCTCTAGAATGGAGGCTGAAGCATGAAGAGGCATACGAATGTTTAGCATATCTGGCACATAAATACCTTACAATGCCAGCTACAAAAGTGCCTTCCAAATGTCACTTTCAGGCGACAATGTGAACAAGAAGCAGGCAGCATCATCTCCCATAAATGTAAACAAATCTACTTGTCTTGGCAACTGGCTGAACAAGAATTAGGTTCTAAAGTTTTACATTGTCTTGTTTTGAGTGCAGTTATGTAACAAAAAATCTACCCTTGTTGCACTTTCAGGATAAAGAGATTGCCCTACTTGTATGACATGAACTCAAATACTATTTCTTTTATCATTTTAAAATTGCAAGTATTTGTAATAAAAAAAAACTTTAAAAAAGAGAGCATTATACCCTTCACATTCTGTGATGAATTGAAATCAATATACTTGAAAATATAGAAAAACACCCAAAACTAATTCATAAATTTCAATTGGTTTTCTGTTGTTTAATAGTGTGATTAAAACTGATTAATCATAATGCATTTTTTAAAATCATGATTAATTTTTGAGTTAATCACGAGTAAATATCAATTTTTATAAATGTAAATATAAATAATAAATGTAATTGAAATATAATATAAATAAAAATAATAAATATAAAAGCCTTTAATGAAATACAATTAACTTGATGGTCACATTTTTGTCTAGCAGGGCTTTGCCATGCCTAATACAAGGAACAACTTGTCTACACACACAAGTTACACTACTTCACCTATCCAGATAGAAAGCAGTATAATACAGTATCTTATGTCCTTCATGTGGACATAGTTATGCCAGTATAAAAGTGCTTACCCAGTGTATTTCCATACAGAAAGGAGAATAAGTTGTATATGGCTATAAGGTATCTTTATATCAATATACTGCATTCATTGTATATTGAGATTGTATATGAATAAAACCGCCCAAACCTCTACGTAAAAAAGCTTTATATTGGTAAAATACATAGACAACATCTAAAAGTTAGTGGGAAAGAATTGTTTATTTCTATTGATTAACTTGTTTACTTGTATGTTCCACAGCTTTCTGTGTGCCATCAATTTGTCTTTTACGGATGGTTTGTTTCCTTTGTATCTCATGCACTGGATTGGTGACAGCCATTTCCTGCACTGGTCTGTCAGAGCTCAACTGCACTGTCATCTCTGAGGCTGGCAAGAACATGTTTTCCAGTAACAGCAGCAGAGCTCTGGGTGTCCTTTTGTTTTCCTCTGGTAATTTCCTCACTTTAATCCTTCCTCCATTCAATTGATTTTCTGCTAACTCTTATCACATACTTTCACCATATTTTCCAGATGCTCAGATTAAAACAATATCTGTGGGAACAATTTGGTACTATAGTATTTTGATGGACTAGTGTGTGCCTAGGATGGAAGAGGCTAACTGATCACTAGGAATTTATGCAAGTCAGATCTTGTTCAATCCACGCTCATGTGATAATTTTTAAATTCTGGGCAATAACATTTCCTTCCCACAAGTTTTATTCCTACTGGTGAATAATGGATTATTCGTCTATCTTTTGTTAAAAGTTAGTTCTCTCTATCTCTCTCATTCATTTTTAAAAAATCAAATTAGAAAAGTACTCATCATGGCAAGTAGTTTTAATTACTGACCATGCTGATTACAACATTGCCAACCTCAACATAACCTTCTGCACTGCTTCTGCTTCTTGTATTAGTCTCCTCTGTTCATAAGTCCATTTATTGGCTCAGGCCTTGTGTATACTTACTTATAACTGTGAGACTCAATCTCCCAGGGGGTCAATTTAGTAGGTGTAGTAGCGACCTATTAAATCGACTGCTGATTTGCACTCATATTGGCTCTGGTGCACCACCAGAGTGAGAAGAATAAGGGGATGCTGTGGTAAGTCAAACTAAGGTATGTTGGCTCCAGCTGCGCTATTCAGGTAACTGGAGTTGAGTATGTTAGTTTTGACATTGTCCTCTAGTGTAGGTCTGGCCTCAGTCTCAGATTAGCTTCATGGACTATTCTCAGGGAGTGGGACAGAGCTCTTTGTAGGTCTCATGTGGAAGTTAAAACCTCATACTCCATCTATTTACTTTGGATTCATGAAGGGCTACGATCAGCCTGCTGGAACGAGAACCTGTGCTTCAGACTCAGAATATTGCAATCCTCAGACCCAGCACTACATGTTGCTGAATGTCTCCTCTGAGACAGACATTCAGCAACTAGCAGGAGTAGGTATTTAGGTCACCAAGCCATTTCCTCTGGCAACCGACTGCAGATGAAATGAGTGTAAACCACCCCACCCTCAGCCACACTCTTACCTGGAACATACTTTTCATACAGTGCCAGTCTTGCATTTTGTCTGAAAAAGAAAGGAAAAACTGAGCTGGAAAAATGTTCTCCCTGCACTATGTCTACTTCCTTAATGTCTAGCAGTCTGAGCCACATGCAGTTGGAAATGGAAACTATGGCTATATGACTAGACTATTACAATTGCATCCACAAGTACAGTTTTATCTAGCTTCTGCTGAATTTTTCCCCTTTAAATTATATTTCAGTTCACCACTGATGGCAGTAACCAGAATATAGGCCAGATGGAGTTTAATCTAGAGCTTGGAGAAAGCTATTTGGGGTGAAAATGATCCTTGTTTTAGTGCTGCTGGGCTTAAGGCAAGCAGAATAGAGGAAAAAAAGGAGAAGTGCTCATTTGGTTGAGGATCAATGTTTGTATTTGTGCTTTTTTTAAGCCATGGTATGAATATTATGTTTGCTAGGTTACAGCACCCTCATCAAATGTAAATAAAAACCAGGCCACAGTGTTTGTTTTTACAATGTGTATAGTCGTACTGGACTACAAGTGGAGCCTCTATAGTCTGGCACTATCTGGTTCAGCAACATATGTGGTCTGGCATGATTTTAGTCTGCTTATCTTGGGTGTGGCCAAGTTTCTCATTGTCCCATAAAGTTTGTTTACAGCTACCAGTCCTGGCACTGTGTTCTGTGCTGCTATTTAGCTCTAATTTACCCCCTACATGTCTTCTAAGAGCCTGGTAAGCCATGGAAATGTTGGTAATACTGATAGACAATAATGACCTCTCATGGTTGGGCAAATTCTTTGGTTTGGCAGTGGTTAGGTCCCCAGGGTGCTGAACTAGAGAGGTTAAAAATGTAGTAAAAACATAAACAGCTGTAATTGGCTCAGACCAGAGGTCCATCTAGCCCAGGGTCCTGTCTTTCAACAGTGGCCAAAGCCACTGTAGGATCCAAAATATTAAGTATGTGAGCAGCAGCATCTATAGTGGGGGAGTCAGAGTGATCCAGGAGTTAGGATGCTAGCATGGGAGTTGGGAGATCCAGGTTCAGTTTCCTAACCAGTCACAGGCTTCCTGTGTGACTTTGAGCAGGCCACTTACTAAAGTTTCTTTCTCATAGTTCACCCTCTTAAAATCGGGACATTTGGGGAGATAATTGTTAGATGCTCAGATATGACAATGTCCATAAATTCTGAAGTCCATACCTAGGCAAGACAGTGGGTGAGAGCTGCATGACCTTGTTATCGGACACACTTTTGACTGTGGTCAATGGCAACATTTCCACTGACTACTGGGAAGAGGTGTGGACCCCATGCCCTTTGAATGTGCACAGAGTTTGCCAGAGTTTGAGTATGTTCACTGAAGTTTGAATTTTGTGTGCTGATCCTACATTTCTTGCATACCTAAAGTCCAATTGAGTTTAGTGGGATTTTTGGTTCTGTGTGTATTGGGTCATTTTAAACAACTTGCCCTTCAGTTTCTTCCTCTGCAGTATGTTGTTATCTTTACTGGCCTCTGGATAATATAATGGACAGGCATGCTGTCATTTTGTTGTTCTGATTTAATTCTTCATGCTTTCTGTTACTCCCTCCTTCACTGGCATGCCTTCTTGCTAAGAAGCAAAAAGCTGATATGGAAATATAAATTAGCCTTGTTCTGAGTGCAGAACATAGCTGGGTTAGACAGCAGTTTTTCTACTCTTTTAAAAAAAGAGAAAATTAAGTCAACCTAACTTAGGTCGGCATACAGCTACCATAATAGTGACATCACTTGTACATGTCTACACTTTATTCTTTTTGTGGGATGTGCACATCTTCACCAGGTGCACTTGTATCAATTGTTCTGTCAGAGTGGCACATTGTGGGACATCTTCTTAATGCCAGTAGCTGTTGATGTAAGCAATACCGTGTCTACGCCAAAAGCGGACCTGGGCCAGATGCAGTTCTCCAAGGTTAACCGCTGGTGCTCTGCTGGTGCTTTATTTACCTGCACATCTACAGATACAGATGTTTGCAGCTCCTTTTGGCTGTGGGATCACAGTTCCTCACCAATGGGAGCTGTGGGAAGCTAACCCTGGTAAACGGCTTCCATCTTATTGCCCACTCCTGGTCTACATTGATACTGTATTGACCTAATTATGTAAACATTGGCTCTACAACTACCATGGAGATGGAGTTATTAAGCTGATGTAGCAGGACAGTTGCATCAACAGGAACAAAATTTTAGAATAGACTATTATTTTATCTGCCTTCCGTCGACCTAACTCTGTAGTGTTGTCCAAGCCTAGGAAAATCATGGACCCGTCACAGATCTGCATGGTGACATAATTTTTATAGCTCTTCACAGCTACAGCCACAGCAGGATGAGCTGATTTGGCTAAAGACTGTCCATCTTTGTCCAACACAGATAATGGAGAGGTGTGCCAGGCTTTGAAATGAAAGAATTGTATGTGAGATGTTTTTCCTCATGGGAAAAAATTCAACATATCACTATAATTATTAGGCTTTTAGCAGCCTTTTTTGCTGTGTTTCTTACATCTTAGAGTGGGGTGGGCAAAATGGCCTCCACAGGTCCAGCTTGAGGGGGTTCTGCCACTCCCTTACCCCAAGGCCAATCAGGGCCTAGGGACAGGGGAGCATGAGGCACTTAGAAGCAACTCTGGTGGTTGACCCTAAGTGCTGAGCACTGGAGGGCAGGGAGTGAAAGACTTCGTGCTCCCCCTGCCCCCAGACCCTGAAGTACATGAAGTCTCCTCCTACCATGCAAGGGGCTCTGAGTCAACCACCAGCTGCCTCTCAGCTGACGGGTGACTCTAAGCGCGGTGCTCGCTTTCAGGGTGGGGGCAGACTTTGTGTGATCTTTCTGCCCCCAGGTTCTGATTGACCTGGGGGCAAGGGAGGAGTGCACGAAGTCTCCTCCCATTGCCAGGGGCATGGGCGCCTAGAGGAAACTGCCAGCTATTCAGAACAGCTGGTGGTTCTCTTGGGTGGGGGTGGGGGGCAAAGCCTTCACATGCTCCTTCTTCCACAGACCAATCAGGACCTGTGGGAAGGGAAGTGCAGAAGTGTCCTGGCCCTGCCCCTTCCACCTGAGGCCCTGTCCCTTCCAAGACAGCCCGGGGCCACTTCAGAAATTTTTGATGTGGCTTCTGGTCAAAAAGTATTGCCCACCCTTGCCTTAGAGAGTATAATATGGAGAGTATATTGGCTAGATATTCCAATTAACTTGTGATAAACAAAACAGTCAATGTAGTTTTTCCCGATGCAAGGGGAGAGATGGAGGTGAGTACAGTTGCTTGCTATATTTCTGTAGTATTCATGTCAGTGTATTTTTAATACAAAAGATCCAAACCTTCCTACTGGTCTGCATTAGAGAGGCTGGGGGAGTAAGGCATAGTTACTGTACCTTGAAGAAGGGATTTTCTAGCCCCTTAGCTAGTTAGAATATATGGGATGCATCTATATTATAATAAAAAACCTGCATTGCCAAGTCTCAGAGCCTGGATCAACTGACTGTGGCTTGTGGGGCCAAAAATAGCAGTGCAGACATTTGAACTCAGGCAGACATCTGAGACCTACTCCTCCGTAAATGGAGTTTCAGAGCCTGGGCTACAGTCTGAGCATGAATGTCTACACTGCAATTCTTGGCCATGTGAGCCCAAACTCAAGTCACGTGACCTAGGCCAAGAGTCTTTGATTACAGTACTGCTGACATACTGTATGTGGCTAGCGTTAACACATGCTAACTGGCTCAACTTAATCCCTGCTCACTCTTGGTGACATTCATGCCTGGGGCCAGCTCAAGGTTTAGGTATCATAAAGTATCTGGCCTAGCAAGGGTAGTGTGGTGCCAGTCATAAAGCTGGCAATCCCCACTCTGAATGGCTGGTTGGCTTAAGCACCCCGACCCTTTTGGTTTGCTTTTAGTATCTCAATATGTACCTAAAAATCATATGAACCTGCACTGACTTGTTTGTCAAAATCAGGAAAGCCTGTATAGATTAGTATCGTTGTGAGGCAAGTCTAATCTTCTTGTTGTGGGTTGGGTGTAACTGTTGCCTTTCATTTAGGATGAATATAAAGAAGAAACTGAAATATCAGCAGTCTCCAAACATAAAACACAGGCTTGTCTCCATGGCCAAAACAAATATTACTCAGAAATGTGAATGACCTGGACAGACATTCTTCCTGGACATTGTTTTTTGGGTTGGAGGTGGGTGTGGAAGAGGCAAAACAGACTGAGGATCTGTCTACACTGCATCATCATGAGGACTATGGGGATGTGAATTGCAGAATATATCAAAATATTGGACTCTAACTGTCCTTCAGTCATGAATTAAAAGGTACTTAGTACCAGAAAATACTTGACTCAATCATCAATTTCTTTTTCTAAATGGAACAACTTAGAAGACCCCAAATAATGGTTAACTGCTTGGATCAAAAGGGGTAAGTAACATCAGAGTAATTTCTTCTTGCCATTTTCAACACACGTTTTAAATGTGTTTTATCTAAAATCTCTGACTTTATGTGAGGAAAAACACCTCAAAAATCCCAGACATTAATCCTGAATCAAGACAAGTTTCATCACTCGGACATTTTTGTCTCAACCTAATATTCACAAGAACTTACTCTCGTGCTGTGGCCATATCCCCTGTAGCTGGATCTTATGGTGTTAGACTGTTAAAGCTTGGTAGATGACATCATAAAGAGAGTGAGAATATTATTAAAGGGAAATGCAGACAAATCATTCATGCAATGAGTAGTCCAATTCGGAGAGTTAGTTAGAAGTAAATAACTGATAGATGAACTTTTCTAAATGAATTCCAGTTTGTATTCATGTATCCTTGAAAATACTGCACTCTTTGCTCCGTAACTTTCACTTCATTATGGAATTTGAATTATTGTATTCAAAGTATATTAAAATGAAGGTTTTTTTTTTAAATATGGCACTTTATGAGTGTGAAATATTTTATTTAGATTTTTTAAAAGCACAGATTATGAAATAGACTATTAATTTCTGTCCAACTGTCTTAATGGAAGATCCCAGAGGTTTTCATTAATTTGGAGAAACTAAATGGGCAATGGAGAACATCTCATTGTAATTATTTCTATTAAGAATGGCATGATACTAGAATCTCTTTGCCATGGGATAGATTAAACAGCTCTCCATACTGACAGTGTGTACCCTGATATTGATTTTCTTTGTACACTGGACTGAAATCATCAGAAGTGTTGAATAGTTGCCCAACAGACAGCTGAGAAATGTTTTTGAATGAACATATGCAATAGTGAAAATCTACTGCAAGTACATAAGTCTTTTTTCTGTCAAGACATTGGTCCCAAATTTCAGAAAAGGCCAAGTTTAGTTAAGGTGTGCCATTCATAGATTTGTGGGGAATGATATAATTTATTCATGCATCAGCAAATTACACTTTCTGAAAATGAATGTGTTAAAAATGAGAGGTGACAGTTTTAAGATAATTTATTAGTTAATTAACTGCACAAAACCTGTAGTTACTCCTTTGGTTTAGTAAGGCGGCCTGCAAAACAAACAAATGGTATTGTGCCCTTTTTAGTTTATTTCACAATCTAGAGGAAATCTTGAAAGGATTTAGGGTTTTTTAATTACAGAATTGTAATGAAGGACAGTTTTTTCCCCTTCCCTTGTCAAGAGAGCTAGAAAAGGAGCTTTCTCTGCTCTCAGTTTTAGAGGTTGTGAATATCTTTTCCCTCAAGTATTTTTTCAAAGTGTTTTGTCAGGTGTTTTAGTAGGGAACAAAAATGAGCTACTTTCAGAGGTTTAAGTCTGACCCAAGCCCTTTCTCCTGTTGCTCAGGCTCCATTCACTTGTATCTTATCAGGCAAGAGCTCCAATGAGTCACCAAGGAAAGATAAAGAAGGCAAAATCTAAACGTACAGTCTGCAACCATTGCCTTGAAGGTAATTCCAGTTTAACCCTGGTGGAGGCACCGCCAAATAAATCCATGAATGAGCCTCAGGTTGAGAGATGACTCAGTCACTGCAGAGGGGCTGGTCTCTTCTGGCAGGGATCCTCTTCAGGCAGGAACCAGGCTGCTTCAGTCCCAGAATTTCCCCTCACTGCGAAGGGGTGCAGGGCTCAAGTTGCAGGCCACACAACTGCACCAAAATTCAAACTATAATCTCCTAGCCCAGCATTCAGACCCACACAGCAGGCAGCAGCCCTGAACTCGCCATTAGAGCAGAGCTGACCATGCTGTGACTGGTCTCACCCAGGGAGCTGGAGAGCCAACTCAGCCTGGCTGGGGAAGCCTCCCAGCAAACTCCACAAACTGGGAATCAACAGTGGATACATAAAACCCAGCTAAGGGATCCTGCCGTCAGGGTCCCTAGAGGCCAGTTCTCAGGGGAAACCCTGCATGCAGGCCTGGGGCTTACTAGCTCCCACACACTCAGTCCTCCCCTTGCCCTGCTGGCTCCAGTTTTAAACTGAAAGCTCTTTGGATTTGGGCCTGCCTTCAGCTGTGTTTGGTTACAGCTGGTCAAGCAATGTAAGTGGAACAGCTTTCCACTGAAAAGTGCACTTTTGTTGAAATCAAAGCATTTTGTGGTACGCTGATTTTAACAAAACATGTGAAGGTGGGGTAAAAGTCAATTTCATTTGAACTTTTTAATTGCATTGTAGAATGTCTAATGGTCCTGAATTGATTTTTTTTTTAATTTTCATTGTGTGGGTAATTTGAAAATGCTGACTTTTCATTCCAGATCAGAATGAAAAATAATAAAAATATTGGAGTGCTCTGCTGGACAGAAATGCCAGTTCCTGACTTGCTCCAGTTGGGGAAGAACCTAGCATAATTTGAACACCACCATTGTCTAAATAATGAATTCAAGCTCATCCAATTTATAATGTAAAAACCAAGCAAAAATGCACCTAAAAGCCCTTCTGAAAAGACCTTTCTTTTGACATCATAATGAAGAAAAAAAGTACTAACAAGTTTTTTCCATTGCAGGTAATCTTTTCAGGATACAGATAAAGGGTGTGTGTATGGGGGAGAATAGAAAACACCTAGTGACTCTTACAGGATTGAAAGAATAATGATTTCAAAAGAGAAAATGTAATCTATGGAGCTGTTTTACCGTATAGCAATTCAAGGTTAGATTTTCTTTCATGAAAGCTTGAGATTTCATGAGACATTCAACTGTCACTGCTTAATTAAAGCAAAGTGAATGAATTTTGTGCTGCTCAGTTTGCTGATAGTTAAGGAAAAAAGTCCCTTTCCATCCACTGTGGATCAGACACAATCTATGGTTGTAGTCCTCCAACTCCTCTACATACAAAACTCCCAGTGTAGACAGTTAAAATAGGACTAATAAGGTCAGTCATTTCTGAACCTCCTGAAGGAGGCTACAATGATTCTGAAAGATGGCTGGTAACAGCATTTTTCATTTCAATGTTTGTTACAAATGTTAACAACTGACAACATCATAATTTGTCTTTTGCAGAAATCTGGGGATGTTCTTATATCATTCATGCATTAAAATGTTACACTTTTTGATAATGAACCACATAATAGTGGTTCCAAATGAGGTGTATGGTTGACCAGTCAGTTTTGTAACGCTGAGGTTCTACTGTATTTACTTTTTAGTTCACTTCTTTTTCTACCCCCAGCTCCATATAATCTGACTCCAAAAGGTTTATCTTCTCATTTTCTTCAAAGACAATCTACCCCTCTTGCAACTAGTTTCTATGTGAGATCATAATGAAAGTCACAATTTCCAATGTTCTGTTGAATGAAGTCTAATACTGAAGTGGGAAAACATGCTACATGCAGTCCACCACAAATTGTGTTCAGGGAGATAGTTATATTAGATTTACACTAAAATTCTTCTATTCAACGAATCTTACTATTAATGAAGGGATATTTGAGATCCATTTTCCTCTAGTGTTGTGTTCCCAAAATTCCCATTGTCAAGTATATGTACATTTACAAGGGAGTGCAAATCTCAAACCTGTCCTAGTTCTATAACCACTGAGGTTGTAAACAGGAATTTATGCACCTATGTGCTGGTTTTAACATCCAAACATTGGATTTGGACATCCTGTCGTGTCCACCTATGGAAATTGGGCTCCAATAACACATTTCTTCAGCGGAGGTGAAATGAAGGCATTAAATAATAACTAACTCATGCTAGTAACAATGATGTCTTCCACACAAAATATCTTTTGAGATAGAAATACTGTTATCTCCCAGTGAGTTTTTGTTTGTCTATTTAGAGTATAAGATCTTTTGGGAACAAGGACTCTGTGTCCTCTTCTGTGGCTTGTACAGCTTCCTATACAATGCTAGTGCTTAACAAATAATGTGACATAAAACTACCACAAGGAAAAGAATTTGTCAGCTTCTTTATATCACAACTAAATGGGGTCTTGTCAGAGTTCCACAGCAGGTAACATTGCAGAAGAACAGTGCTTAGAAAATAGCAACCAAGCAGGGTGCACAATGAAGTTAATGTTCCTCAGAGTCACCACTTGGATTTTGGGTTTATTGTCCACGCTGAAGCAGAGTCCAATGCAGCCTAAATGAGTGAAGTGTGCCTGCACTGCTGAGAGTCTTGCTCACAGTAACTGTTCCTCATTGGTGAAGAGTGGGCCTGGCACAGGCACAGGCATTGCCAGCAGCCCACCAATTCGCATAAAACGTTTTCTCACATTTTTATGTTGATCATTCTTTTCCAGGTCATCAGCATTCACTTCTTGATGTGTCCCTCCATCAGTTGCAACAGGCTTAAATTACCAGAGAGAAAAGCCTATTAGGAATATAGTACATATAATCACACTTGAGAGGCACCCACTGTTGTTAATTCAATAATCATAGGCATAAATCACAGGCTTAATATACAAGTGGTTAATCCCATCTCTCTCTCTCTCTCTCTCTCTCTCTCTCTCTCTCACACACACACACACACACACACACACACACACACACACACACACACACACACACACCATGGGCAAAGAAATATCAAAATATACCCAGAATTGAATGCATATGACGATACCTACATGCGCTCTTGGAAGTCCTTCGTATGCTGTCTTTATTTATTTATTTATGTTAAGGACTATATATATATTAACCTGAACCCTGTGATTACAGTAGAAATGCCATACAGCAGGGTTTCATTGACCTTTATGTGAAATATCTGATCAGCATTAGCTAGTTTCCAGGGTTTTACTGTGCCAGCTTGAATGGGTAGTTCTAAGACTTAGCTGGGAATTATAAAAGTAGTTAGTGCACCTGACCTAGCTCTTGCAAAATTGTTATGATTATTTACCAGGCACAAAAGAATCACACACTTTTAATGCGAATTGAAAAAAATGCCATAGTTTAGTCAGTCAAAAAGGGTTAATTGCTACAAGATAGGTAGAGTTTTGCAAGGCTACAACAAAAGCAGCTGAATTACAATTAGTATATACATGTACAACTGCAGTAAGAACCTGTTGATAACCCCAATGTCTGAACTTAGACAACCATTTTCAAACATCTCTAGGATTTCCTGTATGCTTTTGTTCACTGTTAGGTTAAACCTGACGTGTTCTAAGAAATCATCTTCTGTTGACCTCTTCAGTTGTTTAAGACAATTTTTACTGTTATTGACATCGTTTTTTCCATCGGTGAGAACACTTAACAGCATTTCTGCATATT